CCCGCCACGAGCTGCTGCCCTACGTCAGCCTCAAGCGGCGGCGCCCCGGTGAGTGCCCATCGCGATATATCGCGATATGCGGAGTCACTGTTGTGATATATGGGGTGGTATTGGGGTCACATCATCACCCGCCACGAGCTGCTGCCCCACGTCAGCCTCAAGAGGCGGCGCCCCGGTGAGTGCCCATCGTGATATATCGCGATATGTCGTGATATATGGGGTGATATTGGGGTATTGGGGTGACATCATCACCCGCCACGACCTGCTGCCCTATGTCAGCCTCAAGAGGCGGCGCCCCGGTGAGTGCCTGGTGTGGTATATCGCGATATACGGAGTCACTGTTGTGATATATGGGGTCATACTCACAATATTCGGGGTGGTATTGGGGTCACATCATCACCCACCACGAGCGTCAGCCTCAAGAGGCGGCGCCCTGGTGAGTGCCTGGTGTGGTATATCGCGATATACGGAGTCACTGTTGTGATATATGGGGGGGTATTGGGGTCACACCATCACCCGCCATGAGCTGCTGCCCCACGTCAGCCTCAAGAGGTGGCACCCCAGTGAGGGCCTGTCACGATATATCGCGATATATGGGGTCACTGTCACAGTGTATGGGGGTATTGGGGTCACACCATTATCTGCCATTCCCATGACATTTCTGTGCCATTCCCATGACATTCCCATGACGTTCCCGTGACATTCCTGTGACATTTCTGTGATGTTCCCGTGACATTCCGGTGCCATTCCCGTGACATTCCCATGACATTCCTGTGCCATTCTTGTGCCATTCCCATGATATTCCTGTGACATTCCCATGACATTTCCGTGCCATTCCCATGACATTCCTGGTGACATTCCCGTGACATTTCTGTGCCATTCCTGTGCCATTCCCGTGACATTCCCATGACATTTCTGTGACATTCCCATGACATTCCGGTGACATTCCCGTGACATTCCTGAGCCATTCCCATGACATTCCTGTGCCATTCCGGTGACATTCCCATGACATTCCGGTGACATTTCTGTGATGTTTCTGTGACATTCCCATGACATTCCTGTGCCATTCCCATGACATTCCTGTGACATTCCTGTGACATTCCCGTTTCCATCTCCGGTGCCATTCCTGTGACATTCCCATGACATTCCTGTGCCATTCTTGTGCCATTCCCATGATATTCCTGTGACATTCCCATGACATTTCCGTGCCATTCCCATGACGTTTCGGTGCCATTCCCATGACATTCCGGTGCCATTCCGGTTTCCGTCCGCAGTGTGCCCAGACCTGGTGGACAAGTACCTGGAGGAGACGTCCATCCGTTACNTCCCCTAAAAAAATCAGAATTCACAGCACCAGGTGTTTCCCATTCCTGTTTTTTTTCCAGGGATTTTTATTTTTTTGGGAATTTTTCTCTTTGGAGAGGAATTGGGGTGGGTCAGGGGGGTTCCTGTGGTGATCCCGATGTTTTTTCCCTTTTTTTGGGAGATTGTAGCCAAGGAAAGGCCGGAGCAGGGATGGGGGTGGATCCCTGGGAAATCTGGGATTGGGATCTTGATGGAAAATCCCAAAGATTGGGGTTGGGATTCCAATGGAAAATCCCAAAGATTGGGGTCAGGATTCCAATGGAAAATCTTTGGGATCGGGGTCAGGATCCTGATGGAAAATCCCAAAGATTGGGGTTGGGATTCCAATGGAAAATCTCTGGGATTTGGGTCGGGATTCCGATGGAAAATCCCGGAGATTGGGGTCAGGATTCCAATGGAAAATCCCAAAGATTTGGGTCAGGATTCTAATGGAAAATCTCTGGGATTGGGGTCAGGATCCTGATGGAAAAATGGAGAGATTTGGGGTCAGAATCCCACTGGAAAATCTTTGGGATTGGGGTAAGGATTCCAATGGAAAATCCCAAAGATTGGGGTCAAGATATTGATGTAAAATCCCAAAGATTGGAGTCGGGATTCCGATGGAAAATCCCAAAGATTGGGGTTGGGATCCTGATAGAAAATCCCAAAGATTGGGGCCAGGATCCCACTGGAAAATCCCTGGGATTGGGGTCAGGATCCCCATTGTCCCCAGGTGCCCATGGCGGGTTGGAAGCACAGTGCAGGCGCTGGCAGTGCCAGTGGTGGCATGGGTGGCACGGTGCCGTGGCTGGAGGAGCCGGTCCTGTACTGACCCCATATCTCATTTTCCCCATATCTCACCCCATATC